TGCGGTCCATCAGGACTAGAACCTCCCGCCACAAGAACAGTTTCTTCCCCTCTGCTGTTGGACTCTTGAACACTTCTTAACCTGTCCCCCCGCCCTTTATAAAGTCACTTTACTGCCCATCATACGTCACTTTACTTCACTGTACTGCTGTCACCTTACATTGTGTGCACCATGTGCACTTGTATATTGTAAATAGTAACTGTAACTCTATTTTAAATTTAAATTTATTCTTTAGAAGTGTTTTTTATTCTTATTTTTATTATCTCTTTTTGACTGTTGCACTGAGCCAAAGCAATTTCCAAGTCTGTGACCTCCCGTTACTTACGTTGGCAATAAAAATGATTCTGATTCTGATTCTGATTATTGGATTATTTTCTAAAACCTTCAATGGCTGAACAGAAAAGGCCTATTTCACGTTTGCCACCCACTCTTCCTGTTGTGACAAAGAAAAGAAAATGCTGGATGAATGGTTTGGTGGAGAGGCGAGGGGACGGGGGAGTGGTTTCGAGTTAGTGCTACGGCTAAGCTAACAAAATTGCTTACTGCACCTTTAATATAACTTAAAGTTTTGTAAATAAAGATATTTTAAATTTAAATCTAAACTTTTATTACGCACTCAGATCATTAAAAACATGTGGTTGTATGGTTGTAAGTGGTTAATTCAATATAAATGTGATGCCCTTAATAACTTTCGGGTTTCAAACTGAGATTCTAAAACCTTTAACACTAGGACTCCCAGAATTCTGAAACTACAAGAAATATCAAATCAAATGAATGGAATTCTGAAAAAAATTACCAAAAAGTATTAGGTTTATAATAAGTCTTTTAAGTCTTTCTTTAATACATCTTTAATACATGCTAAATCTGGTTAATATACTGTAAATAAAATGCGGCTAAACTGAATACTAACTGCTGCGAGTAAACAGTCTGTTGCTATGGAAACTAGCACTTGCTCCGAGCTGAGTTTTCTCTGAACCAGTCTATCATTGAGATAATTTCATAAACATAATTGCATAAATAAAAACTACATATAGAATACAGAAAACGACACAAAGTTATGAAGACCAAAACCATCCGCGTAAATACACTTTCAGAACAAAAGGCCGTCAAATTGACTGCTCTGAGTTCTAGTGTTAATAAAGCATAATAGAGATTGATCAAGCAGGAACAAATCCCTCTGAATGAATGAATTATTGAGACGGTAAATCAGAAGGGGAACAAATGACAGGATTATACGCCATTATTTGATGATTTTGTTCAACATGTTCCATTCAAAAGAGCAATTGCTTTGTGGAAAGACCTCGTCCCCGTCGTTGTTCTCTCATTACATTATGACACAGTTCAGCTCCAGGAGACGGTAGCGTGTCATGTTCTCACGGCTCGTACAGTTCCATTAATATGGGTAAGAACAGGTCCACATGACATCAGCAGCCAGAGGGGTGAAGCCCAACAAAAGACCTGGCTCGTTGGTCCTGACATCAGTTGCTGTGTTTCGCATGAAAACAGAGCCGCAGAAAGAATCAGGAGAAAGGGCTGGATTTGTGAGTCGCTTTAGAAGTTGAACTGTTCACAAAGAGAGAATGGAAGGCTTTCTCTCCTGTCTGTCTCCACATGTTTAGCACCGGGGCTCACTGACGCAAACACCAATGCAATTATTCTGGGACTCCCGCTGGTGAAAGTGCAGATGAAAGGTCAGAATACTCTTTTTAATCACATGGAAGTAAAGGTTAAGGTAAACTTGCTGAAGAGACATACGGAAATTTGAATTATTCTACAGCTCGAGCGTTATTCTTGTATAGCCCTATATCCCAACAGTCGTCATCTCAGAGGAATTAACAGAACCATGATGGCAAACAGTTCCACTTCAGTTCCATCAACAGAGACTAGAAAAACAGCTGCAGTATATTCAAAACGCTGAAAAAAAAAAAACATGAAGTACCATCAAATTAGTCCTGGTCTGAGGTCTCTGCCCTGGCTTCCTGTGGCTCAGAGATTAGACTTTACAGCAGCTGTGCTTGTGTTCAAGTCTCTCCTTGGCCTCGCACCAAAGTACATCTGTGACATGTTAGTGCAATAAGAACCAACTCTGACGAGCGCAGGGACTGGCCTACTGCTGGTGTCCAGAGTCAAGACAAAACATGGGGAGGCAGCGTTTGGGAATTATGCAGCTAAAATCTGGAGCAGTCTTCCTGAAAATGTGAGACAGGGTTCTATTCTGACCATGTTCCAATCCATTAAAAACAGTTTTGCTGCAGCAGCTTAAGCATTTTCATCTTCACTCTTTTTAATACACTGTGCATGTTTAGGATTTCAATGCCTCAAGTGATTTTAATGTTTCTTTTCTTGTTTTGTTCAGCACTTGTGCATGAATAGTGCTATACAAATGAACTTGACTTTCCCATATACAGTCGATGGATAATGGAGAATTAAAAAAAACATGTGGGTGTGCTTACGACCACGGGATGCCCCGGAACAAGGAAAAAATCTTATGAAAGTCCATCCATGTCCAGTTTTAAAAATGTATTTCATGAACCTTAGGAACCTTAGAACCCCTATCCTCCCTGTGCTTCCCTCTTGAAGTCGAGGCTTACTGTATATCTGAAACTGGCAGCGTCCGCAATAGTCCGTCATTTTTCCCAGCTGTGCAAAGCAAAACCAGAGCTCGCCTGCTTGTAAAAATAAATGTGGTCCCTCTCCCAATTAGCAGACAAATTAACTCGTCTAACATCTATCCAAAATGACTTTTATTGGCCGCTTTGACAGCAACAAGTGCTTTTTAATTACCTTCTGGCTTATTGTGTGTGCGTGCCTTTAAGGGCGGAGAGGGACCACTTCCTGGAGAATGAAGATGTGTAATGAGCTGCCCAGACAATGCTCGAGTGCACCGCGGTTAAATTGGTTGTTGTCGGGAGAAGGGGGAAAAAAACATGGAAACTCAGCCCCTCAGCACACACCCAAAACGCACAGTGGCCGCGGAGAATCGCTACGGGCAGTTGACAAAGGCAGGCGAAATTAAAGAGGGATCACCCCCCCACCCCCAGAGAAGAACTGAAACCAAACGGAGCTATAAATAAGAGACGATGAGGAAGTGGAGATACATAAACAGGAAGTGGTGCCATTGTTTGTAGATGTCTAAACCACAGTGTTAGTGGATTTTACACAGAATCAAACACTGGGTTTAAATCCAGATTGAAAGCATGATTTAGTAATGTCTACGCCAACTGATTGGACAAGGGTCCGAGTCCTGGCTCTATTGCCCGTCCGGATCCTTCCCTCAACATGGGCCGCCCAGAGATTTCTCACTTTTCTCCCACTAGGGTTTTAGAGTTCCGAAGGAGGAGGGTCTAAAGACATTGGTGATGATCCAGGACTTCATCGTTCTAACTATAGAGCATACAGTATATAAGGAGTGTCCTGACCGAGTGTGACATCACAATAGTGTTCGCCTTAATGCCGAAGAGGCCAATTTTGCTAGCTGGAGCCAATTTCACAATATGTGCATTTCTTCCGCAACAAGTTGAGACTAAGGCAAGCTGGAGTTTCCCTGAAAATTAAGGCATCTGATTGGTCAATGCTTATATGGCACTATCTAGATTTACAAAAGACACTATCAGAATATAAACAGTAGGATCACAGAGAGCGCTAAACTAAAGCGTTTTGCGTTTTAAAACCCAAAATGGAGAGAGGTTACAGAGTTAGAGGAGTCTACTTTTACCAGTAAATCAATAGGAGCCACAGCTGGAGTTGGAGCAAAACTTTATCCTTGAGCACTTCCCTATTGGGCTTCTTTGAGCAAGCAGGTTAGCATCGTCCATCTATGTACAATCTATGGAGAAAATGCAAAACTTACCAGGACAAAACGGTCAGCAACAACATAGGCTTAGAATCAGAACCATTACTACTGTGTTGGTTTCTCAAGTTTATTTTGATTGGTGATTATCAAAGACAATGCCCGTGAACCTAAACAAAAAAAAAGCCTTCATGATTTTTTTGGGAGGATTTGAAATGGCATTGGAATCTTTTCTCATTAATTCATAAACAGCAAAAGTAAAAAAGGTAAAAGACAAACATTTGGACAGACAGCCGAGAGGTTTGGAGGGACATGTTTAAATAAGTCACGTGCGTTTGGAGTTGGCCATTATCACCATCATTGTTATTTTTATCATTGTAGAGACTGGCATTTCAATTCAGTGTCATTTAAAATTATTCAGTCTGACGTGAAGTCGAGATAGAGGCGAGGAAAATATAAAAAACACACATTTTTATCAATAGTAGGCACCATTGTGACATGGCCCCGTCGACAATTTCAAAGCTTTGTTCGCCTGCGTTTTTCTTCCTGGGAGTCGCTTTCATCCCAATGTACAGTACACAATGCACAAGCCACATTCGCACCAAAATGGACGCATTAAGACGGTTTAAAAACACTTAAAAAAGCACAATGTGGTATCTTTAAAAGTAATTGCACATGTAAGACAAGGGGGGAGGGGGTGGAGTAGTGTACAGCCAGAAGGAGAGGTTAAAAAAAGGGCCTCGGTGAGCATGGCAACAGAGGAAATACAGTACATTCAGTCAAAGAAAGAAATAAAACAGCAGGAAGAGGAGCAAAAGGCGAGGTTAAAATCATTGAAAAAGAATTTAAATAAAAATCTCAATACTTATTTTTTCTTCCAGTTTTTTTTGTTCAGCCAACACTCAGAGGGTCAAGGCAGGGCTGCCCTTTGACCCTTTGCTCTTCGCTGTGTGTTGCTCGTCTTTCTATTTAAAAGGTCTTTACAGTTTGGAGGCCATTGGTGGGTGAGAGGATATTGTAAGTAGTACTTAGTGTAGGTGCAAATCTTCCACCAACTCATGTAGGCATTCTAACACCGTACGTACAGTATAAACAATGCATTTTCTGTCATTGGACACACCTGGATTTTTCTCTTTAGCTCGAGTCTGTACAAAAAAAAAGTTCCTTCAATTTAAATTATTAATCCTTCATTTGCGTTGAATTGTTTCAGTTAGTTTTGGGAATTGAGAAGTTTGTCTGCTTCGGGGTAAGTGGGATATTTCACTGTCTCGATCTTCTCCTTGACCTTGTAGGAGGGGTACAAGCCGGTGCGTCCGAGTTTGCGGTTGATGCCTTTCGAGTAGCCGTCCCAGTGGTTCCCGGCGACTCCGATGACGTCGCCGGGCTCCAGGGGGATGTCCTCGTTGTTGCGGGCCTGGTGAGGGTACACGGCGATCTGGTTGTGGGCGTTCTGACCCCCGAAGTAGTAGATGTCGTCCAGGGAGTAGAAGAACGAAGAGGCGTCCGGGTGTAGTGTCTGCATGATTTCGTAAGCCACTCGACAAACCTGGAACGAAGGAAGAACAGGGAGTTTCAGTCAGTGATTGATTCAAGAAAATGTTTTTGTGTGTAGCCCTGAATCACAACAGCAGTCATCTCGGAGGACTTTACAAAGCTGTCGATTTGCCAACAACAGATCAGAGAATCAAACAGTTTGAAAACAGGAAATGTAATAATAACAAATATAGAGCCATTGGTCCATAGGGAGCGGGATGACCACTGTCCACAAATGTTTATAATTTCTGCTCAGAACCAGTCCACACTTTATTTAGCAAGCGACCGAAATGGACAAAATTCAAATGAATGAAGCAGTCAAAATGGCTGCACTGGGAGTTAAAGGTTCAACTACACATTTAAAAAATAAAAGACAATTTAATTGAAACAATGAAACGACTGTGAATGAAATGAATCTCAAATATAGAAACAAAAATGTTAGAAAGTCATAGAGACCAAAAATGTGCATGAGCGGAGAAAATAGACTGCTAAAACTAAAATCCGTCAAATTGACTGCTCTGGCAGATCTATTGTTAACAACCTGGTCTCACCGATTTCCCATTATTCCCGCTGCGACATCACAGAGCCCAGGTGACCATCACAAGACCCCGCTCTGTGCCGTGTCTCTCATGTGAGGCCGTCTCTGTTTCACTGATCTTTGCTCCATCGTTTATGGCGGTCATTGGTCATTGAGACGGCTTTAGGGTCAGGGCAGCAGTCTCAAACTGAATTTATCTGGGGCTGCATTAGGTTTAATGTGTGTTTGTGTGTGTGCAAAATGTATGAACATCACAGCAAACAGATCTATGCACACGCAGAGATAGAACCAAAGCAAAAATACTGCATATATGTATATATATATATATATATATATATATATATATATATATATATATATATATATGTATACATACATAAAAAAACGAGTCCAGCTGCTTGGATTGAAATAAATACAGGCTTTGTATTCTAGACTGGGTTTAATGATTTATTGCATTCAGGGTTTAATGTTTATGGTAAAATAAATACTATAGTCGTTTTCTTGATTCAATTTGATTAAAAGCAATGTATAACATGCCATATTTGCACAGACTCTCAGTGGGGGCCACATTGACATTAAAGTCTGATGTCCACTAGGACACCAGTAGTCTATTCATTGCTATTCACCTACTGTCCTGTATCAGTCCTGCATCTACAGCCTCAGTCCTGGGTCTACAGCCTCAGTCCTGGGTCTACACCCTCAGTCCTGGGTCTACAGCTTCAGTCCTGGATCTACAGCCTCAGTCCTGGATCTACAGCCTCAGTCCTGGATCTACAGCCTCAATCCTGGATCTACAGCCTCAGTCCTGGATCTACAGCCTCAGTCCTGGATCTACAGCTTCAGTCCTGGGTCTACAGCCTCAGTCCTGGATCTACAGCCTCAGTCCTGGATCTATAGCCTCAGTCCTGGGTCTACAGCCTCAGTCCTGGATCTACAGCCTCAGTCCTGGATCCATGGGAGCAGATGCCTCTCTCAATATGGGCCTCTGAGGTTTCTGATTTTTTCCTAATCGTTTGTTCAATGGTTCCTTGCCGATGCAGAAGTGTCTCAGGAGAGTGATGATCCAGGACATTTATTAACATTTCTGGACAGTGGTCATCCTGCTCCTTATGGACCTATGAATGAATGAATGAATGAATGAAACCTTTATTACGAACTCAGGGTCCAACAATACAAGTTAATAAGACAGCTGTACCAGTGCTTCCGCATCCTCGGCTGGTAACAGGCTGCACTACAACAGATGTCAACTCGTGGGACAACGTTTTTTAATTGCTAAACCTGTAAAATCGTCCAATGAAGCTGTACATGAGCAGTCTCCGGACACTCATGTCTCCTATGTGTTTGTTATTGTGGCATTTCTTGTGTTTGAGCTGATCTGTTGTTCGCGAATCGACAACTTTCTTCGAGAATCAACAACTTTCCTCCAGAACCTTGTGATTTATGTTGATACTCAAATTGATAAAATGTAAGTATAAGGGTTGTATCAGTATAATGCAAAACTCAAAATTACACTACAGTTTACAGTGAGTGTAAAATCCTGCTCGGACACATTTCTTAAAGTCATTCATATTTTAGTTTTCTTGCAGATTACATCCGGAGCGACGTACCTGTGAGGAGAAGGTGCACACCAGGAAGTCGGTCTGGGACAGGAAGTGGATGTCCAGGATGACGCCGCGGAGCGAGTTCTCCGTGTAGCGGTTGTGGAGTCCGGCCGACCACGAGATGGAGTTATCGCTGATGAACTCGTAGTCCGGATACCTGCCACAAAGAATCGTGTCAAATACAAGAGCCACACACACATAGCCTGCTCTGGGTCATACGCTGCATACAGATGGACAGTGCTGACCCGCTAACTCGATGAAGCCCAAAAGGGAAGAGTTTTGTGAATGAGATATGGATTTATACAATTACCAACTATCAAATCATGATTTAAACACCTAATCTACATCAAGCCACTACAACTAGATTTTGTGGAGATCCAAAATAATGGATTTCACTCGGCCCACTTCAAGCATGTGGCATTTGTTTTGGATTGTGTGTTTATGTATTGATTAAAGCTACTAAATGGGCTTTTTTCCCTTCTCTCCCTTTCTGTTAATCAGGGATGTCCAAACGTTTCACTGAGAGAGCCACTTTAGTTCAGCAAGACGTCTGTGTGAATAAGAGCGTCCATGTGTCTTGGTCTTGTCTTGCCATTGGTGTGATTGTGGTTCTGTGTGTGTATATGTGTGTGTGTGTGTCATGTGTTTTTTTGAAGGGTACTGTAGGGTAGTAGTGTGGTATGTGTCTGAATGCCTGGGATGTGACTGGATTAATATAAGTTTTTTGCTTCGACCTCTCCCTTCGACCACGCAGGTTTTCTTGTTTGCTTTTTTTCCTGTGAATAATTGTTTGTATATCTTATGCATGCTTGAAATAAACAAACTAATTCGATAAAATGACCCCATGAGATTTCAAAAGATGAAAACGGTAAAATACAAGCAGAGGTACTGACTTGGTCTTGGCCTCCTGCAGCAGCGATGGGTCGTCGGTTGCCAGGTAAACGCGTTTCTTGTCCACGTGGCTGCGGCGGGCCAGGTTCTGGAACTGCTCTTCCACGTGGACCATGTACTCCTCGATGGGGTGGAAGGCCGCCTCCGTGCCCACCTTGTCCGTCCGCCGCACGTGCACGCTGGAAGCAGAGGACGGGGAGAACATGAGGCATATGTGGAACAACAAAATCACTTTCACTACAGCATTTGACCCATCCTTCCATTCGCTCTAGTAATTTAAAGTATGCCTCCAAAGCAATGTAAGGCTCTAAAACAATTCATTGATTACTAAATTTATTGACAACTATTTGAATTATTGTTTAGCCCAATATCTCTGCATTGCTTGAACTATTTTACCTATCTGATGTGACTTTATATATGTGTATATGTCTGTGTGTGTGTGTGTGTGTGCGAGTGTATGTGTATACGCATGTGGGTGTATATATAACAATAAATGTGGTTTATGGGTGGGTCTGTGGGGCGGAGGGGTTTGGGGCTGGACATATTGGATTGTTTTTTTACTAAACTGTAAAGCACTTTGTGGTGCATTTTTTGTATGAAAAGCGCTTTATAAATAAAATTTGATTGATTGATTGATTTGATCGATTCGTTGAGATTGATGATTGGTCCTCAGTCCTGGTCCTCAGTCCTCAGAGCCTCAGTCCTGGATCTATGGCCTCAGTCCTGGATCCACAGCCTCAGTCCTGGATCTACAGCCTCAGTCCTGGGTCCACGGCCTCAGTCCTGGATCTACAGCCTCAGTCCTGGGTCCACGGCCTCAGTCCTGGATCCACAGCCTGAGTCCTGGATCTACAGCCTCAGTCCTGGGTCCACGGCCTCAGTCCTGGATCCACAGCCTCAGTCCTGGATCTACAGCCTCAGTCCTGGATCTACGGCCTCAGTCCTGGATCTACTGCCTCAGTCCTGGATCTACTGCCTCAGTCCTGGATCTACAGCCTCAGCCCTGGATCTATGGCCTCAGTCCTGGATCCACAGCCTCAAGGGCTTGACACACGAGAGGCGACATCGCATCGCCTCCATTCATTTTCAATGGGACGTGCGCGACATAGCGTCAATCGCTAGCGAGCCTCCTGCTCAGCGACGGGCAAAAAACGTGCGTGTGAAATCCTCCCGCTCGTGCATGTAACGTGCACGCGCAGGTCAGCGACGCAATCCCAGAAAGTTGAAATCGGCTCAACTTTTCGACGCTGTCGTCAAGCCGCATCGCGCCCCGTCTGTCATGTTATCTGAGCGACAGCGTTGAGTTTCGCTGATCGCTCTCATTTGTCGCCTCCCGTGTGTCGAGCCCTTAAGTCCTGGGTCCACAGCCTCAGTCCTGGATCTACGGCCCCAGTCCTGGATCTACGGCCCTAGTCCTGGATCTACGGCCCCAGTCCTGGATCTACGGCCTCAGTCCTGGATCTACAGCCTCAGTCCTGGATCTACAGCCTCAGCCCTGGATCTACAGCCTCAGCCCTGGATCTACAGCCACCTCAGTCCTGGATCTACAGCCTCAGCCCTGGATCTACAGCCACCTCAGTCCTGGATCTACAGCCTCAGCCCTGGATCTACAGCCACCTCAGTCCTGGATCTACAGCCTCAGTCTTGGATCTACAGCCTCAGTCTTGGATCTACAGCCTCAGTCCTGGATCTACAGCCTCAGTCCTGGATCTACAGCCTCAGTCCTGGGTCTACAGCCTCAGTCCTGGGTCTACAGCCTCAGTCCTGGATCTACAGCCTCAGTCCTGGATCTACAGCCTCAGTCCTGGGTCTACAGCCTCAGTCCTGGATCTACAGCCTGCCTGTTTGTGGGAGCAGATCCTTCTCTGAGGTTTTATATATCTTACACCTTCCTTGCAGATGTAGGAAGGTCTAAGGACAGTGAAGATAGTATTTACAGATATAAACATTTCTGGACAGTGGTCATCCCGTTCCCTTTGGGACCAATGGCCCTTTCCTGTGTTCCTCAAGACAGCTGGTATTGTGATTTAGGGGCATTAGACAGATACATTGAGATGAATGAATCCCTTTGTCATAGTAAACTATCCATTTGTTTTTACTATGAAACATAACGCAGACACACACCTTCAGAGATACATCTATTTTAGTTTTATTTCTTTTTCAATTTCAGTCTCCAATTGCTTTTGCTCATGCCGCTGTCTTTAAAGGCAGATTCCGGTCCTCCTGCTCCTCCTGCTCCCCTCACGACACCGCTCACCTCCTGCTGAATGCGGCTCTGAGCTTTAAGCTGATGTGAAGCTGAGCGGAGCAAAAATGTAAAGCATTCTTCGTGCGTTTTTGTGGAGCTCGCCGGATTAGACGAGGGATTTACAAATGGACAGAAACAAAGAAAATACAAATCAATACACGCTTTAAAAAGAGAAAGAAAGACACAAAATCAATGTTAAAAATGGCTGCTGCTGCGATGGGAAAAATTACAGCCAGATAATGATTAAAAATGCACTTTATGTAATGTCTGTGTTGAGGATTGGAAGTAAAAACAAACATCTTTGAAACTTTTGCCAAAAATCTGAAAAATTCCAATGAAATAAATCCGCGGCTCAGAGGATTTTGTTGAATAAAGCACAGACAGATTCTCTCTGAAGAATTAACACAAGGCGGAATAAAAATGAGGTAAAAATAGGTAAAAGGAGGAAAAACAACTTTGGATTATAGATTAACAAACAAAACTATATTCAGCAGAGACAGCCGGGAACAAAACCATGTCTGCATAAGGAGACACATTAGGCTTGATGGAGTATACCAGACTGTGTAGATGGACAATGCTAACCGGCTAGCTCAACGAAGCCAATAGGGAAGTGCTCATGAACAAAGTTTCGATCCAACTCGCTCTGGCTCCTTTTAACTTACATGTAAATATAAACTCCTCTAGCTCAGTAACTGTTTGTGTCACATTCACCCGATTGGGATTAATAAATCTGTGGTTTAGTGCTCTCTGTGATCCTGGTGTTTATGTTTGGATATTGTCTTTTAAATCCAGATATGCACCTTGGAGGGCTGAGATTTTTAAACCTCGGGGGACTGAAACTACTGAACCCTGAGGACAGAGCCTTCTCTGCAACTGCTTCCAATCTCTGGAACTCACTCCCACAACACATCAGAAAGTCAGACTAACTCCAGAACTTCAAGTCTGAACGGCTGAGAACATTATTCATGCTTTTTTTATCTTAGTTTCTTCTTGATTTTAGTTTCTTTAGTGGGGCGGCACGGTGGCTGAGTAGATGGCACTCTCGCCACTCAGCAAGAAGGTTCTGGGTTCGAATCCCTGTTGGAAAAGGGCCTTTTTGAGTGGAGTTTGCATTTTCTCCCCGTGTCTGTGTAGGTTTCCTCCGGGTGCTCCGATTTCCCCTACCACTAAAAACGTTCAATAGTTCAGGTTGAATGAGTGTGTGTTTGTGTTTGTGAGTGAGAATGTGGGGCAACGGATGGAAATAAGACTACAATCCAGAGTGATGTGTTCACTAACATGTACTGTCCCAACCAAATAAACAATAAATAAATAAATAATGATTATAATAATACATTGGTTTTATAATGCTTTTTTTTTGACGATTTACATTATTTTTTCTTTCTGTACACGGTGGTGATAAAGTATTGTAGCTACAGCTGCCCTGAGGCACACTGAAAGAAGAGAGGCAACCAGTATGTACCATCGGCCCCTCCGACCAAACACCAACCATTTACACACACACCAATATCACTCTTAACAATGTTGGGGAAGTGCCTACAGTTTGACTCTTTAAAGCCGCAACCGCCTCAGAGGTCTCCCATCACAGCACTAACCAGACCCTGCCCTGCTTAACTTCAGATGTCTGACGAGGATCTAACTTTCACCTGCAGGTATGGCCATCAACCTGTCCCTGTGTAAAGTGTCTTTGAGTGTCCAACCAACCACTATACAAATGTGACTTATTATGATTATTCTCCATCGTCTCTAACATCTCGACACATATATCGCCTGCTTTCATCCACATTGCACATTATTTCCAAACCAATAACATATTCCCTCCCGCCTTCACATGGCACGTTGTCTTTCCTCCCACAGCCGCTCGCTCTTGGCTCTGAACGGCTCTACACCGGTGCGTGTCAGTGCTTTGTATGCCTCCGCCGCGGCTCATTCAGCGCAAATCTGGCGAGAAATCTCAGGTCAGGAGGGGGCCTTTGTGTCCCCATCTCTTCTCTGTCAGTCGTCTCTGAATACCGCAGGGCCTTGTCCAAACCCACGCCGATGTATGGGCTCTATTTTTATTCTGAAGGGATAAAAACCAGCGCGCCTACAGGTCAGTCGCTGATGGATGGATTCTCTGTTTAACACACTTACAGGAAGAATATGGAAGATGGAGAGAACATGCGTGGACATAAACTAAAGCTTGTGCACTCAATTTTCTCATGAATAATAAAATAAATGTGGTTTTGTAGAGTCTTGTATCAATGTAATGTTGTGAACGAATCAGACCAGAACACGCAGTCTATAGAAAACATCTATCCTTTTCTACTTCTTTCTCTACAGCCTCAGTCCTGGATCTACAGCCTCAGTCCTGGATCTACAGCCTCAGCCCTGGATCTACAGCCTCAGCCCTGGATCTACAGCCTCAGTCCTGGATCTACAGCCTCAGTCCTGGATCTACAGCCTCAGCCCTGGATCTACAGCCTCAGTCCTAGATCTACAACCTCAGTCCTGGATCTACAGCCTCAGCCCTGGATCTACAGCCTCAGCTCTGGATCTACAGCCTCAGTCCTGGATCTACAGCCTCAGTCCTGGATCTACAGCCTCAGCCCTGGATCTACAGCCTCAGCTCTGGATCTACAGCCTCAGTCCTAGATCTACAGCCTCAGCCCTGGATCTACAGCCTCAGCCCTGGATCTACAGCCTCAGCTCTGGATCTACAGCCTCAGTCCTGGATCTACAACCTCAGTCCTGGATTTACAGCCTCAGTCCTGGATCTACAGCCTCAGTCCTGGATCTACAGCCTCAGTCCTAGATCTACAGCCTCAGTCCTAGATCTACAGCCTCAGCCCTGGATCTACAGCCTCAGCCCTGGATCTACAGCCTCAGTCCTGGATCTACAGCCTCAGCTCTGGATCTACAGCCTCAGCTCTGGATCTACAGCCTCAGCTCTGGATCTACAGCCTCAGTCCTAGATCTACAGCCTCAGTCCTGGATTTACAGCCTCAGTCCTGGATCTACAGCCTCAGTCCTGGATCTACAGCCTCAGTCCTGGATCTACAGCCTGTTCTTTTGTGGGAACAGATACCTCTCTCAATATTCTTTCCAATTTGTTTTTTTTTTTAAGTGCACTCTTACCGAAGCAGGAGGGTCTAAGGACAGTGATGATCCTGGACATTTAAAAACATATATTATTTCTGGACAGTGGTCATCCGGCTCCCCGTGGACCAATGGCTTTATGTGTTTGTAATCATTGCATTTCCTGTATTCATACTGTTTGAGACGACTGCCGTTATGATTTAGGGCTATACACAAATAAATGTAATTGAATATTAAACCACAATCGAGCAGCTGTAGTAAAGATTCCCCAACTAAAGTGCTAATGTAGTTGCAGTTTATTACCTCGGCCATTAAAAGCATTATATCCTGTCAAATGTTTTCAATTTTTTCCCAATATATTTTACAATCCTCTCACGCATATTTTACACATTTTCGTGTTAAATAATCCCTGAGCGAATGTCCCGCTGCAGTCTGACTGTACAGGAGCTCCCCCCAACATGCGGCTCGCTACCTTGAATTGCAATGCAGCCGTAGCTTTAATATTGGAACAGAGGTCTGGGCTTGACACTGAGAGCGCGTGGGCTGTGGATGAGTGTAAGGCCGGCTTTCTTTACGCCCACCGCGACTCTCCGTGTGAGCCCCGAGGTGACGACACGGGCAAATAAATCAAATCATGGAGAAGAGACGGGTAGAGCCAGAGCTGCAGGCGAATACAAGCACACAGGCTGAGGAGGGAGGGGGCCAGGCTGGAGGAGTGGGGAGTGAGGGATGAGGATGGAGGAGTGAGGGGTGAGGGATGAGGAGTGAGAGATGAGGATGGAGGAGTGAGAGATGAGGATGGAGGAATGAGGGGTGAGGGATGAGGATGGAGGAGTGAGAGATGAGGATGGAGGAATGAGGGGTGAGGGATGAGGATGGAGGAGTGAGAGATGAGGATGGAGGAATGAGGGTGGGTGAGGGGTGAGGATGGAGGAGTGAGGGGTGAGGGATGAGGATGGAGGAGTGAGAGATGAGAATGGAGGAGTGAGGGGTGAGGGATGAGGATGGAGGAGTGGGGGGTGAGGGATGAGGATGGAGGAGTGGGGGGTGAGGGATGAGGATGGAGGAGTGAGGGTTGAGGATGGAGGAGTGAAGAGTGAGGTATGAGGATGGAGGGATGAGGAGGGAGGAGTGAAGAGTGAGAGATGAGGATGGAGGAGTGAGGGATGAGGATGGAGGAGTGAGGGATGAGGATGGAGGAGTGAGGAGTGAGAGATGAGGATGGAGGAATGAGGGGTGAGGGATGAGGATGGAGGAGTGAGGGATGAGGATGGAGGAGTGAGGAGTGAGAGATGAGGATGGAGGAATGAGGGGTGAGGGATGAGGATGAAGGAGTGAGGAGTGAGAGATGAGGATGGAGGAGTGAGAGATGAGGATGGAGGAATGAGGGGTGAGGGATGAGGATGGAGGAGTGAAGGTTGAGGATGGAGGAGTGAAGAGTGAGGTATGAGGATGGAGGGATGAGGAGGGAGGAGTGAAGAGTGAGGGATGAGGTTGGAGGGATAAGGGGTGAAGATGGAGGGATGGGTAAAGAAGGGAGAAGGATGGAGGAATGAGGGGTGAGGATGAAGAGATGAGGAGTGAGGGGTGATGTGGGGGGGCGTGGATAGGGGGATGGGGAGTGAGGGATGAGGATGGAGGAGTGAAGAGTGAGGGGTGAGGATGGAGGGGGTGATGAAGATGGAGGGATGAGGATGGAGGGGAGGAGGAGTGAGGGATGAGGATGGAGGAGTGAGGGATTAGGTTGGAGGGATGAGTAAGCACGGGGTGAGGATCAAGAGATGAGGAGTAAGGGGTGAAGATGGAGGGGGCAAGGATAGGGGGATGGGGAGTGAGGGGTGAGGTGGGGGCGCGTGGATAGGGGGATGGGGAGTGAGGGATGAGGATGGAGGGGTGAGGAGCTCCGGGAAAAAGAATCTGGAAACTGTACTTTTAGTAAAACAAAAGCTACTGCGCACACTCCCACAGTAATTGAAATGATTGTTGTAAACCACTAACTTACTTCAGCAGTCATCTCGACAATCTGAGGGCAACAGTGGCACGGTTAGAAGACCTCTTTGGATCTGGTCGACGGCTTTGGACCTAATGGTCGTGGGTTCGATCCCACCACGACCCATGTCATCTGCTCCCACTGACCTCTGCTGTCGTTGTGTCCCTGGGCAAGACACTTAACCCCACTAGTGCTTTGTGAATTGGGTGGCAGCTCTGATTGCCAACCCCCTGACCCAGAATGTGATAATAAAAGACGAAAAAGAAATGAAATGAGATCAGAGAATCAAACGGTTCGAACACAGCAAATGCAACAATAACAAACACATCGGTCCATAGTGAGCGCGATGACCACTGTCCAGAAATGTGGATTCATGTCTGAAAACTTGCGCCAAAACTTTTGCATGGATTTGGGGACCAATCACAGAATAGAGAGAGACAGATATGTTGAACAGTTTTTTTTCACGTCCAGCAGGTGGCAGCAGACGCCTCTTCCCTCATATTTAATGACCCCATCGTGTAAACGTCATTTGTCTTTTTCCTTATCTTTTACGATTGGTGCCTAAGTGCAGACAAATATGATATTAACGGCTTATTAAACGAGCGCGAGGTCTGTACAAAAAGACCAAGGTCTGATATTTCTCTGTACAGACCGAGCAAGCGAGGTTAATAAATGTTTTATTATATGACTATTTTTAATTTATGCAAATATCTATCTCTGACTTGGTTTTCCTAATCGTGTTTTTAGCTTTCTGATCTGTAATGAAGTTGTCAGTCTCTTCTTGACTGTTAGGAGTTGTGTTTTCGTCGTTATTTACTGTTATTACTTCCTCTGGCTCTTCGAAGTCATCCCTCATTCTTTGTTTTTACCGAGGAAAGATATCAAATTTGATACGCGCTGCGGACCAATTGTCATGGTAACAGTCCGAGATGGGAAAATATCAGACCGCAAATCAACCAATCAGAGCGGGCGTACGATCCAAGTCATATAATAAAGACTCTTAGCATCAAATGAACAGCCCTGGAATATGGTAAATCCCACCTCTCCTATGGGAAAATGAATGGATGGCTTTCAGACTATATTTTCACTTGGTCGGTATTTAGTCAGTGTTAGCCAAACTAACACTATCTAAATACTGGCTAACAATGCAACAAGTCCGGAACCTTCATGCTTTCCCCGCTCTCCGACACAGTGTTCCGAGGTCAATACAAGTCAGCTCACTGGGTTCAAGCACTTTCTAATTCCCCGTTTACTACTCCACTCCACTCTTACCATTACCTTTTAGTATCTGGTACCATGTCCTGGCAATCTACCCACAACAAACCAGTATCTGTCCTGCAGCACTCTGGCCCATCACTTTGGTACCAGCTCGGATCTTCATTACTTGAGAAGGTGAGGAGCCGAGTTACAAGAGAGGAGCTCAGAGTAGATACGCTGCTCCTCCACATTGAGAGAAGCAGTGAGAGGAGGCATCTCTGGGGACATAACCTCCAAAGAAGCTAAAGAGAATGGATGACTTAACTAATCACATCCAGAGCACATTTACAGCCTTCCAATGACACTCCATCAAAACCCGCTTCTACATTTGTCATTTTCTGCTCTTGAAATCCGGGCTGCGAGGTTATACAACGACCACTGCAGAAGCATGTCACCATAAAACAGGTTTTTCATCTTCGGCCAAACTCGCCCTTTTCGCAAGTGCCCCCCTCATTCTATTCCACATACGTGCCCCCTCCCCAATGCACTGATACGAGCAAGAAGACGCTTTGTTGCAACATCAGTGCAGCGCAGACCGGATCTATCAGAAAAGCCTGGCAGAGCGAGAGCAAGGGGGGAGGGGGGGCAGGAGGAAAAACTTTGTACCATCCAGCTATTCATTTCAATAAGCTGTTCCCCAGTGAAGCCGCGGGAAGACCGGGGAGAGGAGGAGGTGTGTACGTGTGTGTGTGTGTGTGTGTGCGTGCGTGCGTGTGAGTGTACGTGTGCGTGCGTGTGAAGAAGGCGTTGCAGACTTCTAGCAGTTTTAAGTGTGAAAAGCCTGACATTAGGTTAGCTTGACATCTACTTTTGAAGAACTGATTTTTGCTTGTGTGATTTTGAAATGCAGTCCTGGAGCTCACATCCCAGACATGTTAGTGCAATATATGAACCAACTCGCACTCTGAGGAGAACAGGGACTGGTCACAGGCAGTCTTCCTGAAAATGTGAGACAGGCTTCTTCTCTGACCATGTTCAAATCCAGGTTCAAAAACTGTGCATACAACTGAGGGATTTTATCTTTACTCTTTTCAAAGTTCTATGATTTTTTAATGATTGTTTCCATTTTGTTTGCACTTTGAGTTGCCTAGTGTATGAAATGTGCTGTACAAATAATTGCCTCATTCACAAGTTGTGCTTCTATGTGCTTCAGTCACTAATGCACTACTGAAAAAACCTGGACTTCTATTGCCACTCTTTCTTTTAATACCACTTTTTTATTCTACATAATTATATCCGGCAGAGACAATGTTTTTAACCTTTTACATGTTTTCACAGTTGTGTCTTGTTGCACAATCTGAGTGATTATATCTGTGCTAAGTGTGACATGTAAGTTTCTCCAGTGTGAGATCAATAAAGTCCATCTTATCTTATCATATGTTTCGTCATGACCCATGAAGCGAATTTGAGAATTGTTGTTGCTGTATAGTTTGTACTGTACTTCGGTCAACCCCATTGCATTTAGTAGTCTGGTGGAAAAGCAAACCTTGAGCACAAACAGTATAGAGTATGTTATATGACAGAAAGAGGCCGATAACGAGTCATAAAACATTAGAACAGATGAACGTCGCGGTTCAAAGAACAGCTCGTCCCAGCTGGGCCTGTACAGACTTCCCCCATGGGACAAGGACAGAAAACAGTCCCAGCACCAAGGAGAAAAACACCAGGCACATATGGTCCTCGCTGAAGCAGACAAGAGTGTGGAAGAAATAGTAGTAAGTTAGTAATCTTTATTTATATCTATATTCCCAGTTTTAGCATCCCTCCACTGGCTTTCTTTATGTTTATGAACTGATTTTAAGGTTTAACTGATGATTTTTAAAGCTTGTTTAGTTTTGGCCTCAAGCTACGTTATTGAACTTTTAACCCTCTGCAAGCCTTAAGGTTCTTGGGCAGGTCCCTGTTGGCTGTTCAGAGGCCGAGGCTCCGGGCGAAGGGTGGTTGAGCCTTCTCGGTTCGTGCTCTTCAGCTCTGAAAGGACGTGCCCCACGAGACCCAATGCACCATCAGTCCCTCTTTCAAATCAGTTCTTAAAATCCACTTTTATTGAACAGCTTTTAACTGTCTGTTTTAAACCTCACATTTTGTATATTACTGTGTGCCTCTGCTTTATTCTCCCGTAATCCTTTTTGATATTTTATATTATTATGACTCTTTTATTGACTGTTTTTATTGTTTTATGCTGACTGTGCAGTGCTTTGTTAACACTGTTTTTTTAAAAGGGCTACATAAAAAAAGGTATTTTTTATAGAGCTCATTTCACAGATTAGGGTCACACAAAACGCTTGTACCCATTCTCTCCACACAGTGATGACAGAAGCCCTCGCCACGGCCCCTGCCTCCACCACGGCCCCTGCCTTCACCACGGCCCCTGCCTTCACCACGGCCCCTGCCTCCACCACGGCCCCTGCCCTTGATGGACCAATGGCTGTGTTTGTTGTTATTTCATTTCCTGTGTTCAAACGGTTTTAATCCCTGATTTGTTGTTGGAGAATAAACAACTTTGTAAAGTCCTCCAAGACGACTGCTATTGTGATTTAGGACAATACAGAAACATTGTATTATTTTATTTTATTGTAGATAATATATCCTGCATTTAACATGTTTGAACATTTCCTCCCTTTTTTGCAAAATCTGAGTGTTTCTATCCATGCCAAATGTGACATGTAAATTTCTCCTCCTTGTGAGATAAATAAAGAATATCTTATCGTATTACATTTTAGGATGTGATTTTGTCTTGATTTTAGTGTCCCTTCTAAAATTTTTAAATCCATTGGTTTTCTTCCAAACTCTGAATTCCGAGATACTATCACAAGATTCCCACCTCCGAACACAGTGTTAGAACTAGTCTAGTTCCAATTAAATAATGGTTCAATGAAAGAAAAAAATTAATAAAAATAATCTGAAATAAAAAGATACTTATAACATGAAACAGGAAGCTGGAAGCAATTTGGGTTTGATAATTCCGCCATGAGCTCCGGCATTTGAAGCCTTTTGTCTCTGTGAAAAATAATGCTTGGGTGATTTTGTGAAAAGCCAGAGTGCGCTGAAATGGGCGGAGTCTTGAGCACCTTTCTGGCCCAGAGCTCATTGCACACTAAAGCTTTCATCCATTGGGAAAAATGTGGATAACTTCTTTTTTTAGTCAAGCATACACCCTCATCCAAGTATTGTGCTGAATTTAGCAGAACGCTCATCGCCCCAAGTGGGATTACGAACACCTAAAACCGGCGATAGCTGTTGGCGCGTAGATCCAGCCTATTGTGCGGCCTGTGCAACATAGTTATATATTTATAGTATCGAGTTACATTAAGCAAACAGATGGTGAGGTGTAGAAAAGAAGCTGTCAAGAACACTTCTTTTGAATGGGAAAAGCTGAGACTCCCACATGAGCCAACCATGCCAGGGCTGAGTGCACTAATGAGGACTTTCAATTAAGTATCACACGGCAAAAAGCGATTCAACTCCAAACCCCAAAGCTTCTATACTCTCCGGGGACGAAACAAGCCCTCCCGAATCAAAGGCAACTGCCAAGTCAAACTATGTGTCAATAGAAATTCAATTAAAGTGTATGCAGACTCTTACTCTTAGCCTTATTAGGACGCTGTTTGCTCGGATGATACCAGTAGTAGATATTTCTTGAACGTGGAGTAAATGCTAAATGTAATCTTGAGGCAATACTTTTGTTTTAAACGGCAGAACACACGTATTCACTCACTCAATACATTCAGACCTATTGTACACGTTTTTAGCGGTAGGGGAAACCTGCGCAGACACAGGGAGAATATTCAAACACCACACAAAAAGGTCTGGAGGTAGAATCGAACCCAGGACCTTCTTGCTGAGAAGAACAAGGATTGACTAACCCTTTATGCAGAGCTCACAGAATGACTTTGGAGATGAGCAAATACATTGTAAGTATCATTTCTGTAGACATTAGACTTACTGTACATAGTGTTATATCGTTTTCCCCAAAATGTTTGAGCCGTGGCACACTTTTGTCATTGCAAAAAGTCATATAGCACAACACCAAGTGAATATGATACAAAATTGAAACTCTGAAGCCTTTGCTAAAAAAGCAAAGTCACTCAACAATGTATATTATAGAGCAAATCAAACAAGCACATGCAAATCTTTCTAATCATGTGATTTACTTTTGATTTTGACTAAGCTTTTTCCAAGGCACACTAATAAACATCTCAAGGGACACCAACGTGCCACAACACACTGGTTGAAACACTGATATAGACCATTTCAAAAGCCATCTGACATTTCTCGTCGCCAACTTGAAGATAATTCTCTAAAACATCAGAACAAAGCACAGCAGTCGTCGTCCAAACCATTTACTTTATAAGATGTCATTGTCAGAAATGTACAGATTCTTTTTTCATGGTTTCTTCATTGTCATTGCAGCTCAAAGAGCTTAATCGATCCTTTGTTGAGCAGAGAAACAAACAGTAAATACACAAGGCTTTGTTTATTTAGTCAATGGGATTTTAATGGGTCTATTCTCACTATCCATGCATTTACTTGAAAAGCGTAGCACTGGGAACATCAATGGGAAGTTAATGGTATTTTGCATCAGAGGAGATTGTGGCCGTTACTTAACAGCTAAAAAAGGTCATAATGAGAACGAGAGAGCGTCCTCGCACACCTCAGGTGACCTGAAGAACTGCTGAACCAGGAATCTAACCCACAGATTTCTGATGTTTCAATTATTTTCAATTTCTGTTATCACAATCTAGATATTGACCTGATTTATGGAATTTTAGCCCATTTTTCACCAGCCCTACCTGGCCCTACTCAAGTCTACATTACCGCAATTGGGAATCTTTGTAAATACAGATATGAGCCATATGAGGATTGACTACTCAGACACCTTCAGTCACAAGGGAAACTCCATCTTTCCTTAGCATCCTGTTACAGAGAGAAGCCAACGCCTCCAGCTAGCTTACGTTCAAAAGGGCCTCTTCCGCATTAAGGCCAACATCATGATGATGTCACACTGAGCCAGTTCACGCCTATAATCTGCTCTATGTTCCCAGCTTCATCTTCCTGGATGCCCTCTCCCCCAGATTTGAACTATCTACAAAGGGAGCTATGCTAAAGATCAAAATATCAATCAAGTTTTGTAGATCTCGATTATCATGATGATATCGTGATGCAACACTGTGACGAATACATCTTCTGAAATCACCTGAATCTCTGTCATTTTCATGGCCAAAAAACAGTGCGTGGTTGATGAAGGGAGCACTTACCCGATGATGGGATGCTTGAAGCCCAGTTTGGCTGTGGTCTGCTGGATCTCCTTCTCCAGCCATGCCTGAGGTCGGACCAGGTACTTTACGAACTGAGAGACCCACCAGACGGAAGGGTCGCCGTGGAGCCTGTGCAGCCGGGGAGCCAGGTCTTCAGGAATGGCCAGGGGCAGATAGGGCGGCCGAGGGTGTAGACTGTCCACGATGGGCAACTCTACCACCTGGACGTCCTTGTCATGGGCTTCACCTAGAGAATGAAATAAATGCATATAGTTATACACGGCATATAGTCACAAATTGCTTGAATTACGTCAAATTCATAGAAATCAAAAGAATTGTAAGTGAGTAGCATTCAAACGTTAGAATTTAAACTGGATAGGTACTTAGGGGTGGTAGTTTATACGCTGTTGCTTCACCTCACTCCTTTTTGGATTATTGGTACTTTGCGGTTCTGCATTCTTACTGTTATGTGAATTCAAATGTCTTATGTTGAAATTGAATAATTGGAAACTGGCATAATTGGTACATGTTACTTACTTAAATGCAAGTAAAAGAAATGCAAACTTTGAGACAACCATCCACACATACCGACCTACCTACCAACCAACCTACCAACCAACCGACTATCAATCAATCCATTATATCTTCTATCAAACATAATGATACAGACCAAGGCCCTAAAGTATAGTCAAGTATAGTGAACTTTCACTATTGTCTTATTGAATGCTCTGAAGACAAACTCGGGCACAGAGAGTTCCAACTTGAAGCCTTGGCAATTACAAAGATAGACGTTCGCAAGACTAAAATGTCCGCCAACAAGAACATTGCAAACACAATGAAAATATTGACACAATGGCCACCTGCATTCTCTCGTTTCTCTGCAGTGATAAAGTCACCTTATTTTGAACACACCAACATTGAGCTGAAAGAGATTTGGAAGGTGAAAACGACCAGATTTAAAGAGTCATTTACAATAAGTCCCAGGATAGTTTACTACTGGTGGCTTTATGTACACTCGTGCCCTTTAGCAATCGCCAAAGGGTGCTACTTTAGAGGACAACAAGACATACAGTACATATTGCTTCTACTGTATACTACTGTCAAAGCAACAACAATCACAGGCCTTTCACTATTCAACTATATAGACTTTACAGAATAAGGACATTTATGAGCTTTTTAACAGATTACAACAATTGGCATGCAGCTATGGCCAAGATACCATCAGGGATTCCCCCCATCCCTTCACAGAAAGCTCTGGGTTGAATATACTTCTAGATCTAGATCAGGATTCTATCCAGCGTGGCCTGGATTGAATCAAGGCCAAGCAGGTACTAAAATAAGTTCCTGGAACACGGTTGAATAGGGCCGGTGGAAATGTTCCCAATCCGGGTAGTGGCATAGAGTAGAGTAGTACATTAGTGACTAATCTAATCTGAGTTGGGCCCAACTCAGACTCTGAGGAGCAGTCTTCTTGCGCCCAGAGTCAGAACTAAGTATGGGGAGGCTGCATTTCAGATTCATGCTGCTAAAATCTGGAACAATCTTCCTGAAAATGTGAGACAGGCCTCCTCTCTGACAATGTTTAAATCCAGGTTAAGAACAGTTCTGTTTAGCTGTGCATACAACTGAGGGATTTTATATTTTCATCTTTCTTCTCAATGTACTGTGATTATTTATGATTATAAGCCTTGTGTAACTGTTTGTTTGCTATATTTAGAACTTTGAGATGCCTTGTGTATGAATTGTGCTATACAAATAAACTTTCCTTGCCCTGCGAGAGAAGAAGGTCCTTTATTTATCCCAAAAAGGGGAAGTTTCAGTTTGATGCATACACATACACATCAAGGCAAGCAGCGAACATCACTTTCGCTCTCCTTTTAGGCAAAGTGGGTTAAGTGTCTTGCCCAAGGACACAATGACAGCAGACATCAGTGGGAGTCGGTGGAGAAGGTCTCATGGCGGACTCGAACCCACGTCCTTCCGGCTCATAGGCCAATGCTCTTCCAACTGAGCCACTGTTGCCCCCAGGAGTAGAGTAAAGAAGAGTAGAGTAGAAAAGAGTAGAGTAGAGTAGAACAGAGCAGGCAGGGTCTTCCTCTGTCTCAAACAAACAAGAGGGAGTTTTCTGGTTTGTCAGATCACCTTTAGGTATAAAACAATAATACAATGTTTGTTGGTGTCAATACGTCCACAACTTTTTTCAACCGATCCTTTCACAATCATTAAAACATTACTATTCTTGCTTCGATAGCCAACCACGCTGCACCAACTCCTCTGGGTGCCAATATTGTATTTCATAATCCATCCATAACACCCGAGCTCTCCATTGTCGGCCTGTTGGCGTCCTTGCAGAAAGGCCGAGCCGTAAAGCGCTGGCAGCCAAGGCCGAGCTGCTCCAGGGGCAAGAGCCGGTGGGGGTTAGCTCAATGTCTCATAAAGGGGACATTATGAGAAATATACTTTTCAATCTAATATAACGATGTTCCCCAGTCGTGCCCTTGTACTTCCCTGCGTCTGAGGCTTCCAGATCTAAGTATAATTTCAGCCAAGAGTTCACCTAAACATACCGGTTGGTTTGAAAGGAAGGGTTTAGTTTTTTCTTTGAGAGGAAAGAAAATAAGCAGGGAGTAGATGCGAGGGTGGTGGATGTTCATGGAAAAAGATTTGTGTATTTCAAAATATAGAGGATTTTATTAGTCATTTGTTTATAATACTTTTAGCTTGTTTTATAAATCTACTTGTCTGGTGCACACTGAGGACTTATGCTCAGATATTCCAATGCGGTTTTACTGGTAATGGCAAATAAAGTGAATCTGAATTTGAACCTAGCGCATTTTTCGCTTCTCAGCAAGAAGGTCCTGGGTTCAAATCCCGGTCGGAACAAGGTCTTTCTGAGTGGAGTTTGCATGTTCTCCCCGTGTCTGCATAGGTTTCCTCCGGGTGCTCCGGTTTCCCCTACCACTAAAAACATGTACAGTAGGTCTCCTGTACTGGCGACCCCGCTCCCATCTCTGTGTGGAGTGAGAGACAAATGCCTACAATTGTAAACCGCTTTGTGACTCTGGTCTGTGAAAGGCGGTATATAAATAAAGATTACTTACTTACTTGAATGCGTTTAAGTTCAGTTTTGCTTGGATTGGACCAGACACTTTATATCAAGAGTGGACTGATTGAGTGTGACGTCACCATAGCGTTAGCCTTAATGCAGAAGAGGCTGATTTGAACCAAAGCTAACTCAAGCTTTCCTTATATGGGCGTTTCTTTCACAACATTAGCGTTGTTGGTCACAGAGCAGCCATGAAGATTGAGTGGCAGCTCTGACGCCGAACCCAGAAATGGATATCTAAAGGGCATGAGAATGAATGAATGAATATCTTATACCAGTACCCCCCATTCAAGCATAAATCAAATAAATGTGTTTCTGCTGCTGAACACCTGAATTTCTAAATGAGGGATCAATAAAGCATCTAGCTATCTATCTATCTATCTCCTCTATCTATCAACACTCTCTGCTTGGATAACAATTCCTGGATGTGGATTGAATACTCCTATTGTGAAGGTTGCACTCTTTTGTGCCAATAATAATGGCAAAACACAGCTCCAGAAGGACAAGGTTTGCAAATGTTTTAAAAGTACGAAAGCAAAACAACAGCATTGAGCCAACTAATCTGGACACAGCAGAAGGCATGAGGCTGGCGGACTTAAGATCGCATTGGGCCCTGAAATCCACGCGCCTTGGTGCTGTAGCATAATGCATCTGAGCCAAAACAAAGCCAGGGTTTTATCGAATGAGTGCACTTCCTACTCAGAGACAGTCAATGCATGTACTGTATATTACCCTACACCGGTAGTTCTCCAACCACTTTCAGGTAGCTTCACAAGGGATTCCGAAATTTGACACATGATCCTAGATAATACAATTTTGAGTTATTGCATATACAGTATCTTATTTAACTATACTGTAGATAGTGTACACTGTATGTCCAGCACAGCGACTGTTCCATCTGCTGCCCTCAGGCCGGAGGTACAGCTCACTCCCTGCCCGAACCAGCAGAATGGCCAACAGCCTTTACCCCCAGGTTGTCAGACTGCTCAATAATAACAATAATAATTTTACATTTTATTTAAAAGCGCCTTTCAAAACACCCAAGGACACTGTACAGGCGTAATAAAACATTAAAAACAGGATCAACAGAATAAACAGTAGTCAAGTGCATTATGGGATGGTGGGTGCGTGTGTGTTAGGTGGGTAGGACAGTCTGAACAGATGGGTTTTGAGTCTGCATTTGAAGAGTGGAAGAGAGTCAATGGTACAGAGGTCAGGGGGAAGAGAGTTCCAGAGCTGGGGGGCAGAGTGGCTGAAGGTTCTGTGTCCCACGGTGATGAGTCTGGTTGGGGGGACAGAGAGTGTGAGGGTGGAGGAGGAGCGGAGTGTGCGGGCAGAAGTGGCAGGGTGGAGGAGGTCAGATAAGTACGGAGGAGTATTTTGAAGTTGATGCGTTGTTTGACAGGAAGCCAGTGGAGACAATAGACACTGCCCCCTCCTCACCCCCCCACAGAACCCCATAATCCTCCACTTAGACATACCTGCCATATAACTGTGAACGGTGTATTGTCGCAGCTAATATACTCACTTACATCCTGTTACTGTTTGCTTTTGTACCTCCTATTGCCCTGTTCCGGTTTACATCCTGCTAACTTCTGCTCTTTATATGCTCTATAATCATGCTCAAAATGTAATTTTGTTGTTTTTGTGACAAGGACAATAAGTTATTGAAAATTGAATCTTACTCTATAAACTGCTCACAATTTTCTAGTTATTACATAGACTACAGTTTTATTACAACTGCAAAAGATCTCATCCATTTCTGTTGGGCAAAAGGAGCTCTCCAATCTTAATAGACGGGGATTTTTAAGCCCAAAATGATTGTGGCACTAACTCACGAGGAGCCAGAGAGAGTTGGAGCCAAACTTTGTCAATGAGCACTTCCCTATTGCGTTTCGTTGAGCTAGCGGGTTAGCAGGAGTTCATGTGTATACAGTCTGTGGAATCGATACATTATTGAACACTTTCCCCATATATGATCAATATTTCTTTGACATTTGACATTAGAGTTTGCAGAATGGACTCTTCCTGAAGGTCTCAGTCCTGAATAAATTATGTTTAAATAAAATGACCACGAATTACTTCTCCCACAAATTCCAGTCTATCAGAGACGGAACAACTGGATCTCAGTCATTTGATGT